GTCACACGTAATTTCATGGTCACAATTTATCTTTTTCGTTGATCACATATTATTTTTTAGTCACATTAACCAATTTAATGGTCACAATCGGACTAAATAATTGATGATCACCACCAACACTTGCGAGCTCCCGCAGCACCACCGCCTCTGACGTCGCCAGAACCAGCACATCACGACAACCAGTTCCAACACCACCGTCACAAGAACCACCACCACCACACAAACCACCAACCCACACAACCGCCACAGCTACCTACAAAACACAGCCACCACCTATAGCCACCAAACAAAACACCATCACCACCCCAATCGCTAGATCCACCACCACCCCAACCGCTGATCCACCACCACACAACCGTCGATCCACCGCCAGATCACCACCACATAAAACACCGCCACCACCCACCAAACAAAACACCATCACCATCCCAACAGCTAGATCTACAACCACCCCAACCGTCGATCCACCACTACAGCCGCCACCACACAAAATACCTCGGATCCCTCCCTAAATTTTTCTGCGACAACGAGTTCGAAACAACATTGCGCCACCGTTTGAACAGATCCTAGCTACCATCATCATGACTGCAGCGTCGCTCGCAGGGAGAAGATGACCTCACCAAATCCTCCGCCATAGCCACCAGCACACAACCGCGCCTACCTGTATCAAAAAAAGATGAAGAAAAGGAATAATGGATCTGCAAAGCCACCCGTCGTCGCTGCGTCGTGATGAGTCGCCTGAGACCAAGCGGAGCACCAGAAGACGCTGCTGTGAATGGCAGTGTCACGACACTACAGTCGATTGACACTAAATTTAGCAGTAGCATCGCGCCAACTGATGCCGACAACACATCACGACGCGGCGGCGACGGGGAAAAGACTAGAGAGATAGAGAAAGACGAGGGGAAAGAAAAGAGAGGCGAGATAGAGAGAGGAGGGAGAAGAAATGATAAATTAGGGTTTTAAATTTTTAAGATTATTATAATTATTAAAATATGAAATTATTACCTGATTATTGAATAAGTAAACTTTAAACATGATTTTTGAAAACCAATCTTTTTAACTACCTGGATTTGTGTAATTTCCACAAGAATATTTGTTTCTTTTTTTAAAAAAAAATCCACTAATTAGCTTCAAACCTTCAAAACCTCCCATAATTGCGATAAATCAAAACCTATATCTCCATTAACTTCTCCAAAATTCGACCGGCGATTCCCGTTTATTCTTCTTACAGTCTATTTTCCTTATCCCCTCTTCTAGTGTTAACTGATGTGGCTAACCAACCACCTTCACCATCAGCAAATAATCTGAATCACCTGGCAGCTGGAATGCTACATCATCAGCAGAATAATAAACCAGCTGGAGCACCACATCTGCAGCATCTTTGTTACGGTTATTTTGGTGTAGTGCTAACACTAGATTTGTTGTGAAAATATTCCAGACAAGATCCTTAATTTTAGGAACAAATTAACTGATGTCTCTTCTAGATTATTCTTCTCCTTTCACCATTGTATTATTTAAACTCATCAGACCTTGTGTAATAAAACACGACTGATTACAATTTTTACTCTCTTGAATACTCATTGAATTTCAACTTGGTATCAGAGCCTGAATTATGGCAAATGCCGGCAACACCAATACCCCCCAAAATGTTGATCCAGTCACTGCACCAGCTTCAGCTTCTAGCAGCATAGCCACACCTCTGATAGGAAACAGCAGCTTCTCTCATTTGGAGTTAACCTCACTCAAGTTGTTTCAGTCAAGCTGGACAAAAACAACTTTCTGCTGTGGAAAAACACGATTCTACCGATCATACGAGGACACAATCTTGAGGGGTACATCTCAGGGATAAAGGTGTGTTCCCAAGAGTTCATTGGCAGTCAAGTCACAGGTGATACTGGAACCAGCATTGAAATGTTTAAGAATCCTGAGTTTGGCCAATGGATGTCAACAGACCAGTTACTCATGGGATGGCTGTATTCTTCGATGACATCAGACATTGCAATGAGGGTTATGGGTACCACAAACTCTAAGGAGCTATGGACAGCAATCAAAGAGAGCTATGGAGTACAAAACATGTCAAGAATTACTTTCCTTACTGGTGAACTGCAAAAGGCAAGGAAAGGAAATAAGAGCTAAGATCAATACATGAACAAGGATAACCAACTGGCAGATAACCTTGAAATAGCTGGAAAGAAAGTGCCTC